CCCCAAAACCCCAAAACCCCATGCATGCCTATCTTTAAATTTAAATGTTAATGAGAAAATATGTTTAACTAAAAAAGAAACCAAAATCAAAATTTATCAATTTGGACTTTTACTACTTAAAACTCATCTCTTAACTTTTTCTGGCTTTGTGAGTTCCTTAAAATCAGATCTTGGAACAATCCAAGCTGGTATTAGATTTTAAACATCAGGATATAGTTCACCATAATATCTAATTATATCATCTACCTTAATAACAAATCTCAATTCTGGTTTTAGTTAATCCATTAGCAAAATCAATTTTTCAATGCTCTGTGGAGCACCATAGAGATCGAATGCTATCATTATAGCTAGGATGCAAGCAATATAATCTTAATTAGCAAACTAATTTTGATTTTAGGGAGTCTGATTCAAGAAAGATAGAAATATATACTCAGTGAGAATTTTCTTAGAGATTTCGTTGGAGCATTCTCTGATCACTGTGACTTTATGTGATTCATTCAGTTCCTTCAAAACCTCATATAGTATCTAATCTACATTAGGATAGGTGTTTTACTTCTCGTTTTAGATGAATACAACTTTAAGGTATTCATAGCACTTTTTAAAATCCTTAAGATTTGGCATTTAAATGACTTGCAGAATCTTATCAATAGTGATCTCAAGCTTTTTAAGGTAAACATTTGAGAAGAAAAACAGAATAGCAGCTGTCCATGGCATTACTTTGCCTCTTGAATATCTGAAGCAAGTATACTACTTTACTACTTTAAGGTATTGATTGAGAGATGTGAGATCTTCTCTTGTGTATCTGAGAAATTTGTAGCAGTATCTTATGATGAAATCCCATATGTGAATTGTCATATTTTATGTGTAATCATCCCAATTTTTATAGATGTAGACATAGTCGAGATAACCGTTAGGTGGAGAACCGAATACTATTTCTTTTTGGAACTCCCAACCTGCCTTGAATATGTAATGCTTTCCGTCAAGTGCTTTATACTTTTGCTTTTGAGGTGCTCTCTATTACATGCTTTTGCAATCAAATTTTTAGTTTAAATTATCTATTAATCCTTCTTATTATATATATATATATATCTTGCTAAGTTTGGCTAATTAATCTTGCTAAGATCGAAAGTTAGTACAATTACTTTTCTCAAATTACCTTGATGGGGTTTTGGGGTTTTGGGG